TATCCCTATGGAATTTGTGCGCATCGAGAACTAAACGTTTACTTTGCCGATAAGTTACTCAGATGCGAAGACATGATACTGAAAATGGAGCAGGTAGAAAGAAGGAGAATTCACAAGAGTATCTGTTCTAAGGATGGAGAGATGTGGGCGATTGAATACTTTTAGAACCAAATTTCGTACAAGACAGCAAGAATTTACATTGCTTCATTCCGTCAGGAACGTCCTCTTCAATTTGCCCAAGTATTCGAATATTACGCCCCATGATCTCTTAGATGCCAAATGAATTTTACCTCCTAAAAACTATAGAAAGCTTATCGGTAGCGTATTCTTTAGTAATGATACATCGGAGGAGCAATTTAATAGAAATATCTGTATTAAATTGGCTCGCTCGAAAGGACCGATAAATTGAGTTTCTTGTAATAATACTATAAAGTCTTTTAAAAAAGGATCTGTATAAAAGATTTTGATTATCTGAAGGTTAATTTACAATTATTTTGGTAAATTTGTATTAACTTTTAACTATATAAATAACATTTTCCAGAGAAGTAAAATTAAAATTAATACTTGTGATTTAAAATAATGTTTCGGATAAATGGTTACGAGCTCCGTACATGCAATACTATGTCATTTGAAATTGTGACATATTCCGTTGACTATTTATAATTTTTCGAGGATTTATGCCATGCATGTGTTTGTTCGTTAAATAATAAGCTGTTTCGCATATTTTATAAAAAAATGCACGCTAATTCAACTGTTTCAATTTTTAATTCAACTGTTAGCTCGGATCCGACTTCATCATTTTGTCACTAATTTTGCAGGAACGAAAGTAGAATTTCGGATTTATTATTCATTGAAGGAATTAATACTTGATATTTGGTATGTGTGATGTAATTGACGAAACGTGGGTTTTCATTACAGGATAACCACGTAGTTTCCTAGGAATTCAATTTAGTTCTACTAGCCAAGGACTACGATTTAACATGCCTCAAAGAGGGGTTTAATGAAACATGGCTGTGATCGCCGGTAACACTTCCCGCGTACAAGAATTATCCTTTGACCTTTCGCAAAATAGTCTCTGGAAGTGTACCAATAATTAAACATTTACTTCATTAACATTGCAATATGGAATTTTCGTATCACTTATTAAACACAGTGATTTGCGAGATTTACAAAAATTATATCATAAACTTTGATAATTCGCATAAATGAAGCTTGTTCGATTAGGTAATATAAATTGTGTATATTTTATTAATAGTTATATATTTTATTATCGAAAACGAGATTATGTAAAAGTTATATCAAAAATTTTATTGAAGAGGATTTTGTCAAAGAGGATGTGAATAACGGGTGAATAAACGAGATTAAATTATTAGCTGCGCAGTCAAATTTCCGCAAATATGCCTGTGTTTCTGCTACGCAAATTTGCGTACATTTCTCATACGCAGAAGTAAGATTGTACAATATGAAACGCAGCAGGTGTTGCGTGATGCTCCACATAAACGTGTGCAAGGAATATTGAAATTCTTATAATATCTTCTTAAAATCGAGTGTAGAATGGATTTTCTTATCTGTTAATGATTTCTGTAACAAACTTCATAGATCTTTTCTCGCGTGTAAAAATTCTCTTTATCTCTGGTAAGTTTATGTGCGAACTTCTTTAGCGGCGCAGTAAGTTATTGCCTAACTCGACCAAATCATACAAACATTTTAAACATTATAAAGTTTATCTGATATTCCGAAATTTATTTGATACTTGAATCTATTATTATGAAGAGATATCTTTTAAAATTTATTTTGTCCAATTTGATATTTTATATTTTAAAAGTTTCGAATAAGAGAGCATCACGCAGCACAGAAAAATTGTTTCAATTTTCATGAATATTGAAATTTGTTTAAATTCAGCGCAGTAAAATGTGTAAAATGTAAACTACAGGTGTCACATGGTCCTCTGGCCGTAGACATGCGTTGTAGCTATCATATGCAGAGCTTGACGTCAAGCGCATCACCGAAATTGGATTTGAAGCGTCACTAATCTACCACCGTAATAACGTTAATTACCGGGCGGTGACAAATATTTCCTGATATATTGTACTAAAATCATTGTTTACTCTCGTATCCTATTTGTATCAGTTTCAACGTCAATAACTTCCCGATGTCAAGTCTTGACAATTTTACCAATTTTGTCGTATAAACTGTTTTTATTGAAACATGTTTGGTTTCTTTAATATCTGTTATTATTTTTTTAATTCTTTTAATAATGCGCACGCTATTGAATGTGATAATTTCTTTACCGCGATGTCAAATATCACATTTTGATGGTATAAAAGCATGTTCAAATGCACGTCGCTTACAGTTTCATGTTCAAAGGATATTACCAAATGCCTACAAAAGCATACGATGACAGTTAATATCAACGACATCTGACCGAAATTTGTAAACCGTTCTACAATTTACGCGAAGCAGAACAATATTGCGAAGGTACTTTGAGTCAGTTCCATTGGCATAAATTTGAAGGTAAAGTAAGTCGACGTGCTAAAGCAGAACATCATGTAAATTAAATTTTGACGAAATTAGTCTGATAAGTAAAGTAAACTAAAATCATCATAATTAAACAGGGTGACATATAAAATGTCATACCATTTAGTTTATATGTTATAAGATATATATTTATTTTTAATTTAGTATGAAAAAACTGGTATAAAGAAAATTTATTAACGAGATTACCAAAGTCTGAAAATTGAACAATTAAATGGTATTATATTTTGTATGCCATCTTGTGTAATTTCTTGTATTTTTTTCATTGTAGAATAACATAAAGATACTCTGGAATATTACATAACGTTTAAATTTTTTTTTATAAAAGACGCAAATATATTGAAATATATATTGAATATAAATTCTTCTATAAAAACGCAAATATATTATACATTATTCTTAAATCTATATATGTCGCTACCTGTGTTGAAAGATAGGAATTTTATAGAATGCAATAAAAAATTTATTGCCGTTGCAAAGCCTACATAAACGCTGATAGCGATTAATACCGCACAAAGTTCCAATGGTAGACGTCAAACGCTACGTGTTTTCAGTACTTTGCAAACGTGCGATATTCCCTTCATTACCATTTTCGCTCCGCGTATTTCTCGTAAACTACAGTGTAATATATCCTCGATCATAAATGACATGTCGCGGTCATGGGATTTAATTCATCCCTGACAGAGGGGGTGATCATTTAATTATAGCACAGCTGGCACGTATTTCGCATATTATGCATCAGATTAATTCTCGCGTATCTCGTATCTCGTCGAATTTTCACAAATCCACGTGGACGCATATCATAGTATTGCTACCGGCGTCGTCATGTTCTTCCTGAAAAATTAGTATCAAAACGTGACGACCGCCTTACACGAGCCACATGCACGTGACTCGGATTCACGACAATCGATTAAAATGGAATTTAATAGGATTATATAAATGCTCAGTTACCTTGGGCGTTGTGGAAATAATGGGGGATTGAAATGAAGTGGAATGCCGGAAACATCAAGCAGATCATGCTGGTATTTTATTTCTCATAATAAATTCTATGAGCTCTGTTATCGGTTTGCTTTTATAAACCTCACCCGTGATTTACTCTACTAATTTGGTAATTAATTTTTCCGTAGTACAAACATGTTTTTATAATTTTCCACATTAAATGATTCCACATAAAAATATAATTCATAATAATAAAATTTTTACTAGAAAAAACTTAAACAGCATGTATTTTATAATATATCGTATTATTACATAACAACGTGACTTTGAAATTCTAACATTATAATTTGTGTATTTATATATATAAATGTATATATATATATATATGTGTGTGTGTATGATATTTATATACATAAATACATATACAAACTAATCTAATATTTCAAGAACTTTATGTACGTGTTAACCAGCAAAGGCAGAGAAAATAATTTTTAAGTTACTGTTTTTCCAGACGAGAGAGCTATCTGGTAAAATAAATCTAAATGACGTCACAAGTTAACCCCGTTTGTCAAAATACGCAGCAGTTGAAGGATAATACGAAAACGATATCGTTCTGTCAGCGAGACGACAAATCACCTGGAAATCTATCGCTGTCAAATAAAATATGAAAGAGTATTGACGCTTCCTGCATTTTATTGTCTTCTTTTTAGATGGCTTAGTTGGTGAAATTCAACTAAACATATATTGACATGTATTTGCGCGGTATTCTTCGGAGTACATTCATGTGTGATATTAGATTTCGTCGTTTTGAAAGCATATATGCATCCATAGAGAATTTAATAAAATTGCATAATGAAGATCGACAAATTCAACAATACCAAAGACGAATGTTCTGGTTTATCAGATATTTCAATTTCCGCGTGCCTCTTGCATTATTTTTATTATTGGAGTTTATTGGAATGTAATTATATAGCGTGTAACGCTGATAATATTTTATGTATCAATATCGTATAATTTATTTCTGTATCAATGATGATTATTACATATAAAAGATGAATACTCAAAGAAAAACACATAATGATAAGCAATTATATATATGACAATTATACAAAAGTTTTATCTCTTTAAATATCTTTGAATGGAATCCTATTTTAAAAAGTGAAAATTCTATCACTCTTTAACAGTGAAATTTTATTCCAGAGAATTTAGATATTTAGAATTAATGTCACAATTAAATAAACTATTTTAGAGTTTTTATTGCAATTAAAAACAGTTTATTTAACTATATACATAAAAATATATTGCTATTACTATATTTTTCTCTAAGTGCAATGTGTATAATTGTATATGTATATCGATGTATATTAGATAATAAAGGAATATTAGATAATAAAGAATATTAGATAATAAAGGAATATTAGATAATAAAGGAATAAAGAATATGAATAAAGTGCTAGATTCTTTTGTGCAAAAAGTAAGATGTGAACAGGACCTATTGATCCGTAACCGATCACGTTTCGCTCCAGGTGACATGTCAAGACGAAGAAGGCAGCCAATGCATACCAAAGAAGATCTTCCTGACGTTGTTGCGTTTACCGGAAGTTAGTTCGAATCTGGCGGCATATTCGAGGACGGCGAGGATAATTCAGGAGGCGAAGAATCATAACGACATGGCTCATCTGAAAGCTCTCAGTTCCGAGGAGAATGATGACGCTGAAATCTGTATACCTAGTGATATCTATCTGGAGCTCCTCAGGGATCTTACGATTCGTGGACATCTCGTAACGCGGGATTTGATTCCCGAATCGGAAAAACGCAGTCTCGCTACCTTGGCCAAAAACGATGATTTACCAGTCACCATACAGGAGCGCGAGGACGATGGCGATGACGAAGAGAAGAGGAGTATCAATATACCTGGGTATATTATCTGAGATTTTTCTGATTCCCCTGAACTTAATAATTCTGAACAGGAAATATTTAAAATTTCCGTACAAAAAAAGATATGCCACAATAAAAATAAAAGGATTGGAAATCGTATTGCATTTTAATAACCTTTTGACTCTTGTTATGAATAAATACCATTTAATAACTTTATAATAATCTCATATTAATTTTATTATTAAAAATATTACCATATCATATTTATTCAGTCATCTGAATTAATTAATTTGTCGAATTAAGCGATAATCTAGATGAGCTGGTGCGCGCGTTGATGGACGACGAGTATCGTCGACGAACATCCGGGATCTACGATTACCAAGTCGAGCTGGACCCAGAAATGATGGAGTATCCTTTAGACAAACGTAACGTCGGCGCCTTGGCGCGGGACTTCGCATTGCCCACGGGTAGACGTCACATCGGCTCGGTGCTTCGCGATTACAATACGATGAGCGGCAAAAGAAACATCGGTTCCCTGGCCAGGCAGAGCATGCTGCCTATGAGCGGTAAAAGAAACATCGCTTCTCTGGCGAGAGATTCCATACTGCCGCAGAATGGTAAGAGAAACGTCGCCGCGCTAGCCAGGGATTCCTCTCTGCCCTATGGTAAGCGATATCTCGGTTCGTTGGTCCGAAACGGTGGTTATCCGGTCCGTGGATACGACGAGGGCAAGCGCAACATTGCATCGTTGGCCAGAAACGCCGATTGGCCCGATTTCATGAAACGAGGCGGCACCGCGGGTGCAGGCAGGATGATCGCCCGGGTGCTCAACCGTCACGGGAGATCTTTGAACGATCACGAGACACCCAGTGAACCCTTGGACCTCCAGCAGCTTATCAGACAAGATCACAACGACGGGAACGATGCCAAAGCGAAAGTTGCCGGCAACTGGCCCACACCCTTCAGCATCTCGGAGGAGCTAGACAGCAGGGCGAAGAACAGATCAAATAGAAGGATGGACGCAGCGACTTCACAAACGAGGCACAAACGACAGATCGATTTTTCCGATGAGTATCCGCTGCCTGTCGTGCAGAATACTAACATACTCGATTACGAGGACATGATCGAGGCACTCGCCGATCATTATCCGAACGCGGAGAAAAGGTTCATGGGTGAGTAAAATTGAAACATCCGATATTTTAGTTGGTATTCATCTAAGGATTGATCTCCACGAGAGATAAATGTAAAATAAACTCCCGCAGAATTTATTTTATATTTATACTATGCATAACACGCGACATTTCGGGCGTTATTAATTGATAACAATCCCTTGTTAACCTTAAACCCGATTTTACATTTATAACACGAACGAAGGCTATCAAATGTCATAGCACTATCTATATAGCAAATTTATCGCGCTTCCGTTTTACGTGAGTAAAATTCAAATCGTATTTTCTTTCTTTTTGTTGATCAATATAAGCTCGCCGATTGGTCCGTCAGCTAGAAGAATTCGCATTAATCGCGGAATCACAATTCAATAAATTTTTTTTCTCTTGCACGCCATAGTGCACCGTTGCTCATTCACCCTCAAAATTCCGTAATAACGTAGGAAAAAAACGGCATCGGACAAATCGACATCGTCTGTTGTCAACCATAAACTCTGTCGAGAACAGGTTCCTCGCCGGAGATGCCGGCCGACTCGGGCTACACTGAAGTATTGCAACCAAGTAAGAGACATATCGGAGCCCTCGCACGCCTCGGCTGGCTCCCGTCGTTCCGTGCATCACGATTCTCTCGGTCACCGCGATATCTGGTCGAAAGGTCAGGCCATTAGGCAGCCGCTCTCTGTCTCTCTATCTCTCTATCCTTCGCCGTGCCCTCTTCTCCTACCTCGATGTGATATGTCAACCGTTTCGTCAGTACCTGTACTCAAGTAGAGCTCTACCTACAGACTGAGAAAATATGTCATATCTATGTGTGTACCAGTACCAACAGATTTATCAGCCACGTCACATCACGTCAATGATTACCCACCAAATACCAACAACCATCTACAAATCACCACGTACAAAATAAAACGTTCTCCAATTGTGTCTTCTTCTTCTTCTACTACCACGATATCATCTCGGGACTCATCACGGTAGTTGGGTGTACAATGTTTCGATGTAGTACAACGTCTCGCTGTTAGAGACTACATATTAGATCATTAGAACGCTGGTAGTTGATCGATGTTAGACGATTAGAATCGGTGTTATAGTTTGCCACGTTGATTCGGTGTTAGTAATTCTAGTTAGTAATTTTGAGTGTTTCTTATCGAATGGTTCTCAACATTAATTAATTTTTATCCTTTTAAAAATATATTTCATTACTAAAAATATTATTAAAACACGTTTAATTATTCAATTATTCGAAAAATCACGAACAATGAAGAGTGATTTATTTAACGTTTCAGTCTCTCTCTATTTACAGCCTTCGAATTATTATTGAACTTAATTGTTGGGAATCATGAGTGTCGTAATGCGGCACTTTTCTGGATTATGTTAAAAAATGCAGTGTTACATCGGAATGATTTTTATATTGTTTCATTTTTATTTTAATGGTTCACGTGACATTACGTGAGTTTTCAGCAAAGTGGTAACTGATAGGATTAAAAACTATTGCTAAAATACTTGTGTATATTACATTGGTGTACATTACATTGGTGTTAGATGTTCAATATGTTGAACGTTCCTATCGGAGTCTTTCTGGAATCATCGAGTTGGTTATATTGGAAAAAACGTCGATAATTATTTTAATAATATAAATGTTTATGTTTTGTACACATATATATTGTCATTTATTCTTCTCTACACTAATCAAATTTTTTCCTATAAAGTAAAGTGTTTTTATAGAAAAAAATTTGAAATTTTTACAAATAATCAACAGTTGGTGCATGAATGAATTTTCGTTTTTATCAAATTTTCTGCCATCGTTTTCATCAAATAAGTGTTCGTGCTGACGCTGTCAACAGCGCGTGCTATCGATTAGTTACATGTTTAGAATTGATCCAATTGTATATGGTTGTTAAACGAGCGGTATTCGGCGAGACATAACGAGGGTGCAAATGGATTTCAGGGAGGATCCCGCAGATGGGTCCTCGTCCAACTACACCCCCCACGCGTCAGCTAAGACTCGGTCGCTAAGACCGTTCATCCCGAAAACCCGCTACCTGCAGTCCCTGCACCGCCTGCACGGAGATTGTCGACATGGCTTCAAGAGGTTCCTGTTACCGGACATCGATAACTTCCTGCGAACGTCGAACTCTCGCATCGTGTCCCATTCCATGTAAAAGCCCTCGCCTCGCCTCTCTGCTCGTCCAGGGCGACGATACCGTACAAATTACGTTATATATCGGACTCACACGTTTTACTCAGCAAACCGTAAGGGGAGTGAGAGGAAACGGATGTAAATATTCGGATCTTATGTCTGACGTTCTTCCTTACTGGCCACTGATTATCCCTTGTCAACGGTAGATATCTACGAATATATATATATATATATATATATATGTTTCGATCATTAATGATCTCTCAAGTAATGATCTACCGGCGAATTATAAAAATAATATCAAAAATTGCTAAAAAAAAGAATTAAAGAAAAAGTTGATCAAAATTAGAAACGGTAATGAAAGTGGGGAAGTCCGTCACGCAATTTAATCAGCGACTAATTTCACAAACTCATTGAGAAGAATTGATCTTATCGCAAGATCCGTCGATGGACAATAAGCTTACTGCTCGCCGACAATAATAGTTTCACGTAATCCTAATGATTGACGCCTTAAATGTGCCGTCTGTTTCGAACAGATTTTAAACCGTTATGCGAAAAGCGTATATCTGGAAAAGAAGCAAATTTTTCTCGCTCAAAAATAAAGTATAGATTTTCCTCCGCAGTTACAAGTTTCTGGATGTTATGTAAAGGACTTTGTCATCGATAATCTCTAAATTTACAAATTTCTGTAAGCACGTATGTTTCTCTTAATATTTGTATCTCGATGCCTCCTTCTAATCGATGTATAGCAGACGTATCTGCCAGTTTTTGTAATTCGTGTATTTTCCGAAGCAAGGCGAGAAATATCCTTGATCGAAATAATAATATAACAATGATCGATTAGCTCACGGTTTGCGATTTGGCATTGGTCTCTGATCATTAACGCCATTTAATATCAATATCATTAATAAATCACTTTTGGATGTTCATTGAGCAATACCTCGCGATTCTTTCTTTTCTCGTTGTGTCATTTGCGATGATATATATATATAGACGAACGAAGAGAGAACGAGAGACCAATTTGGCCGTTAGTTTAATAAATCATCGCGAGGTCGAAATATTTTATTCCTTGACCAATTTCCCATTTAAATGAGTGCAGTCGCGGGAGAGGCTATATGTTACTTTGATGATTGTTATTTAGCTCGGGCTTCACCGATAAATCATTGCGAGATCGAAATATTTTATACGGCGGCCGTGACGAAATGTAAGATCGTAAAAAAAAGATAAAAAATTCGCATATGTCAGTTCGACGACTATTACTTGGTGAAAACGTAAATTGTCGTCGAAGTATTAAAAAAAATGGTATGTTACTCGCAAAAAGAATAACTTACAATTGCGAAATACGATATATCGACGACCATTAACTAATCGAAAAAGATTGTTCGTCATTCCCCAGATATTTCTCACCATGTTACGATCAGTATTTTTCCTCGTCGTGTGATTTTAGGTAGTTGTGATGTTAAGAGTCAGATGCAACGAATATATATTCATTACATTTGTTAATTGTTTAAAAAACGTATTCGCTTAAAGCATGTCAAGTATAACTGTTGCTTCATTGGAGTAATAAAGCAATTTCCAATTCTTTTCATACAATTTTAAAATTTGGAAAAAAATTTATGAAAAATATGAAGTTACAATAATTACATGCTTCTCTTTTATCTTTTATAGAATTAGATCATAAAACTTACAATCTATATATATCTGAATTAACAATTTCCATTTTTACAAATGGCATTATTATATGAATGTCTTTTTTATGATAAATTTAATTAAGAACGTTGCACTCGCAGAAGCGTTCAAAGACTTTAAAACAGGAAAACAAGAAAAGTGGCAGGCATTTTTCATGTAACGAACTAAAATATGTAGCACCACTTTGCGGTGCCATTCTCGTTCCTCGTCTACGAATATTTGTCTCATCATTTTCTTTATTTTCTCGAAATCCTATGATTAGAGCCGTGAGACTTTCGATCGTTCGCACACACGCGTGCAAGATCGACGAAGCCAGAAAATAATCTCCGTGAGCGTAGTAACATGTATGATGTAAATGCCAGATTAGTGCTCCGAGAGCTTGCGAGCTCCATGGCGATAACGCGAATTCAGTTTCATCCTAATCTCCACATTGTATCTCGTTTAAATATTGTTAGAAACGTCGTTGTGTAACATGTATGTGGTATTACACGTATACAATCGAAATACGCTCGATGTCGCAGCATCATCGGTCTATCATTGCTGTGGATGACATATAAGTCTCTGTCGAGTTCTCTTTAACTTTACGACTTAAAGTACTATGTGTTTGTCTAGACAATAATGGATAACCGAAGTGACAATAAAACGATAATAATATTGAAGTAATAAACTCGAATTTCATTCTGCAAATGAAAACTTTTCCCTTGTTCTCAAGTTTTTATTGCTAAATAATATCGTTAAATGCCGATTATTCTTAAAATAAAGAATGCAATTTGTAACTAAACAAGAAAGAAGAAAATATTAATATGCAGCAAATAAGAATCATGTTATTGTAAATTTTATGATTTGATAAATTATAAGTATTCCATTTTTTTTTGCATATGATTTTATTTTAATGACAATTACTCTTAATAATGAAATAAATAATTGCAATAATATTATTTGTAAAGTGTTATAGTATTATTTTAATAGAAAACTATTAATTTTATTATCTACTGTCATTGATACAACAAGTTATCTAATAAGTTGTTGACACCAGACTTTATTTTTATATTATTTTAAAACTTCAGGAAAGGGAATAAAAAAATATATATAGGATTACATATAAATTAATAAAGAATTTATGTAACTATGTGTGTAAAGATAATAATTTATAGTAATTTATTTATAATTCTGCTTTTTACATTTAATTTTATATATTTATATACAGAATATAATAATTGAGGAGATGGACAGAATAAAGGCACAATTTTACTTAGGCCCTTTTTTCGACAATTAGCCTTTTCATGTAATATTGATCGTAACAGAGAAGTATCATAACATGTAACTTCTTAAAGACGTTACATAAATTCATTTGATATTCTATCCATTTATGTATAGTAAAAAAATAGTAAGTTATTTTAATTTTTATTAATATCAAGATTTTGTAATTAGACCTTTATTCCGCCCATCACCTCAATTATATACTAATATATAATTATATAATTATAATTATATAAAAGTAATATATTTATATGTGACAATCGTAACGTAGAGTGCAGCGCAGCTGCTTTTTGTGCTAAAAATCCAGGGTTCAAACCTCGATTCAAACCCACTTAGAACATGAAAATTTAATTTAATTGCCATCTTTCAGAAGGCAATGGCAAACTTACACCAAGAGTATATTTACAATCCGGGGCTGGCGTTAAAACTGTAACTTTTATATACCAGTAGATGCATCGATCTCCAGGTTGGGATATTAGGTTTCTAATTCCGGAAAAATTATTTCGGAACCTCATCTCCAGAGGCTCGGGTCCAATTTGGACCGTAGGTGTAATGCCATTGACTGAATAGAGCTCTAAGAGTTTTTTCAGAATTTTTTATCAACCTTTTAGTACTGCATTTT